ATTACAAAAGGATGCTGCATATGTCGGAGCTTATGAAGTTGTGCCGCTGAGTACTCTTGTGGCCGAGTTTGCACCATGGACGAGACGATTGGAATGGCTATGGTCGGTAGTCCTGCATTTGGACCCTCATTCCACGCAGAATGTGAAGAACCGCTCGCCTTCTGGGGCTAGCATCCTGGATTGGTTGGAAAACGAGACACTCACCGGATACTCTGATATTGAGGACATGGCAATTGCACTTCTGACTGTTGCCCAGAAAGCTTGGATGCGAGCTGCATCGCTATGGGTGCTTTATGGGCGATTGCCAAGTTCTGGAGCTGAAGATTTCTGCATCAAACCAAATTCCAAACCATTATCTGTGATGGATTCATACATGCTCGACTATTCACTCGCACCAAAGTTCCTAAATCCGGGGACAAGCAGTGCTCTACTTTCAGCCGGCAGTGCTCTGAGCCGGTTATATTCACAGACAGTCTCTTTTGGGCCATTACTGAGCGTATCAAGTGATGCATCCTTGTCTTTGCTACCAACACATTTGGCATTGCTGGAGTCCTTGCAATACCCATTGAATCCAGCATTGGTGGAAAACACAATCTGTTCCATTAATCAATCGATATCCGAGAACGCCTTATCCCAAGTCCTCCCTCGACCACTAGTCATGCAGCTGCTGCAAGTCGTCTTGCGCTACATGCTCCTCAATCAAGGTGAATTTGCAGTATCGTTGATCAACCATGCAGACGATCGGGTAGTCAACCATCGACAAACACCCAATACTACTCGTCCGGTGAGGAAGATTGGAAGACTCGATGAACTTACAATCAAGGAGGCTGAGCTGAAGGGTATATTGAATAAGACCATGGCAGAGTTATCAGCGCTACAAGTTGACGACGACATGGAAGACGACACTCTCAACCTAGCGAGGAAGCTATTATCTCTTCGGACTGTTGATGAGAAGAATGAGCTTGGTCGGGATCTGGTGTCAACGCTGTTGCCGACCCCGACCATTCTGCACTTGACAATCCCCAATGCCTCACCATTGCATATTTTCCTATCTTCAAGCGATGTGCGGATGTATTCATGCATCAATGCTTATCTGGTCTCAATCCACAGAGCAGGGCTGCATTTGTCCGCACTATGGAAGCTGTCATCACATCGCAGATGCTACCCTTCACCCATGGGGCCCCCTCAAAGCGCCTCACAATATGGGCGGGAAATATTGGCAGCTCGAAGAGCACGGGACGCTCGACGGTCGACAAGGACCAGGGCATACTGGACCACTTCCAGCAGAGCTCTGTTCATGATCAATGAGCTCGAGGCATTCCTGCAGGGTGAGGTGATCCAGGGCAGTTGGACGCACTTTTCAAACTGGCTAGACGGCAATGATGGGCTGTATCCATCATCAGCAAAGTCGTCGAGACCAGGCACTGCTTCCTCAGCTGGGCAAACCGGGACCGCGGAATCATCCAACCATGAGGCGAGTACAATGCCAACTGATCCTCGGACCATGGCAGAGGCCCATCGGCGATATTTGCACGCCTTATATACGGCGTTATTCCTTACGAATGTCGCATTTGTTGCAAAACTCAAAGACTTACTGAATCAAGCCGACCACTTCATCGCCCTTTTCTCCCGCCTGCAAACAGTGTGGGAGGGGCTGGACCTCCAAGAGGACCAAGGCGTATTTGATGCATTCTCTAACTACGCACAAGATGAGACAGACGTTCTCACCGAAATGGATCGTACAAGGAAGTCGATAGAGATTGCACTTTCGGATCTGGTGACGGAGATTCGAGACATGGAGAAGGAAAAATGGACCGGAGTGGGATTGAATACTACCAATCTCCAGGAGAGTATGGATAGAATCCAGTTGAATGGACATGGCACCAAATTCGTACCGTGGCAGGCCCGGACGGTGGATCGGTTGGTTATGAAACTCGATGGCCTTGTAATGAGACAGGACGAGGACAGAGATCAGACTGCAGTCGGCCTTGTGGATGCGTATGATGACTGAATGAATCAATGAATGGACGATGCACGGAATATTGGTAGGATCGGCTGCAGATTTCACGACAATATGACCATGCCTTAGTCCAGCAGGGACAGCTTATAATATATCACTATTGAACAAACCCTAAACGAATTGCCGGTTAGCCATAGGTGTTCCTTGTACAAGTCACCGAGCCACGGCGCCTAGACTACTATAAGAGTAAAGGATGTGCAAAGGAATCAGAAAAGCCGTCGACCTCATACCCTTCCCCGGAACGACGTACCCACACCAACACGCAACTTCATAACGATAGCCACGGTCGGGGGGTTGCCATCGCGTTTGGGGGAAAGGTGTCTCACAAAGTGGAGAACTCAGAGAATGGATAGACTTGGTGTCATCATAAACAGATTTCAAGGAATCGCTAGGTTGCAGTGGGCATGGACGGAGCGGCTGCGTAGAGGTGGGTGACATACTTTCGACGGCTCTGTAATACGTGGAAGAGGAGTCTGTCGTTTCCTGAAGATAAGCCAGTTGTTAGCTCAATATCGTGGCACCAAAACGGACAAGAATGAAGAAATATAGGTTAAGGTGCAAAAGTCAGACAATATGGTAAGCTTGGTAATGCTTTCTTCAAGGGATATCAGAAGCAGAACTGTTTGATAAAAACCTTTGATCATCATAAGATGTTGGGCAAAGAGAAGAGGTAGAAATCACTGAGATGCTCACCTCCTGTTGTCCATGGACACGTCCCATCCAAACTTGATTGATGCTGTTGCAGACAGATGTCAGTAATCTCCAGACCACTATCGAGTGTAAAATCAAGGGAGCCGCGGCATGTCTGGAGGGTCAGATGGTAGTGCATGTTTGAGTTCAAGGCTCATGAAAAGGTTCGCCGGAACTTGGTGTATGATTGAGTTCATCAGGTAACACGGGGGGGATGGGAGTGACACGGATACAGGGTACAACTCACAGCTGGTTTCCAGGAAAATAAGGGGCCATGAATGGAGGTCATGTATGACCAGAGGAATAGAAGTTACCAGGTAACCATGGGCGTCGAATGAAGCCCTTGGGAGATAAGAGTCTGGACGACATAAGATGCGAAGTTGAAAGATGCAGCAAAAAGTTGAAGCGAGACAAAATTGTTTCGCCGTCGGATAAACACCGGAGGCTTGGCGGTCAACGATCCCGTGACTGTCTCCAAACGAGGCAGCGAGGCTGGATGACAAGGCTGCAAGGCTGAGCACTTGCTAGTTTGCTTGGTTTCCAACTCCTTACGCTTGCCACTCAGCCAAGCATGGGCGTTGTAACGACTGTGCTATCGAATCGAATCATATTTGATATCAAAGCCCAACCTTTCTCGAACTGACGCTCAGACTGGGGACGGCAAGGTGGTTCTTGATATTGTCGGCATTTCTGTGGACGGAAAGTGCCACAGGATATGAGCTCTCCCGTCTCTAAATGTTCCCTGCCAATGTACCAGAGGCCAGAGTGGGCTCTCTCTCAAAATCCATGGGAGTCTCGAAGAAGGGAATGGACTCATCGAAGTATAAAAATGTCCAGACGTCCGTGAGAAGTGAACGAGATGCATGCTCAAAATCGCACCTAGGATCACCTGGGCAACATCTTTGTACCGCTCTCCACATTGCCCAGTTATTTACCACAATGCTCTTCAGTCGTTTCCTTTTACACTTCTCTTTCCTTGTCACATGGGCCAATGCCTCCTCCGCTCTCATTCTTTCTGAGATCAACGGGCCTTGTAGCGGCTCAGGCGGCGCGCCGGGAGTCTGCATTTCGACCTCATCCTGCTCATCTGATGGGGGAACATACATTTCTAACGCCTACCCAGGCACCCCAGAAAATATACAATGCTGCACGAAGACATTATGTGGGACAGGCAACAAAGGCAACCGCCGCTTTGCCTCTGATTTCAAGTCTGGTGTTACCGAAACAAACAAATGTCCCGGCTCGGAAATCTTCAAATGTTGTATGCCGGCTGGCAGTGGCTATCCGATACCCAATTTTCCCAGCCTAAGCTCAGGGTGCAGGCGGGTCGCGATCGATGGAGCAAAAAATATCGTAGCCGCTTTTCCAGGAAAGATCAAGAGCATTGGGTGTATTCGTGAATGCAAAGATCTGTCTTCTAGTGATCACTGCAGAGGCATGACCATGGATATGATTGTTACCGATGCTGGTGTGAGTACCACCTCTTTTGATCTTCTCCTCCTACTCTCTTTCGTCCTTGGGATTCCTCCAATCTTCCAAGCAAAGTTTGACGGTGCTCGAACAGGTCAAAACCACTTCGGGCGAAGAAATTGCTGTTTGGATTATGAACCACGCCAGCAGCCTTTCCCTCGAATACGTTATGTGGGGACAGAGAATGTGGCATCGCGGCCAGGACAATGTCAAACATTGGAACAAATGGCGATATCAGTCTTGCACAACAATCCCGAATTGTATCAACGGGGATAGAGGAGACAACACGGCAAATCATTGGTAGTCATATTTCAGCCACACGCGACTAATATACTAACCCGTGCCTCAAAAAGGGATCATGTCCACGTTAGCTATCGATGAGAAGTCGGGACGAAGCTGTTGAGATCTCATTACATAGATCACAGGGAAACAACTCGAGGGCGGAATCTTGTGGTTGGGTCGAATACATTGGACAACAGAAATGGTTAAACACCCACGACGGAATTGAGAGCCATTGAGATTGTCTTACTGACCAATTGGACCAGGAAAGCACACTTTTCCCTTTTGTAGAACATATACACGACATAGGCTCAAACGTAAACTAGTGGGTCGAGGTGCGGAAGATCTCCCTGTTTCCTCTCATGCCACCTCATGCCACTTTGTCTCTGCTTACCGTGAACATAATCTCATCAGCTGCTCGTGTTCACTCTTGATGCAAAACAGGGAATACCCTAGATAGTTGATCAAACAAGAATATGCATGCGAGCACAACATCATTGCTGACGTTGACAAAGAACACACTTGAAAAACTATCAGCGGCATGGCTGATGTCAACGCCGACCGCAAGCCGGTTCTAAGTGTCATTGTCGGCGGATTGCCTCGGACTGGCACGACGTCCATGACCAAGGCTCTTGAAATCCTTCTCAGAGGTCCTGTCTTCGATGGGGGCTCCGTTTCCTACATTGGTAACGCCGTTATGCAACGACGCATGCTTGAGCTTGCGCAGCACTGTCCCATGAGAACTCTAGTGGACCGCACCTTTGTCCAATATCGCCTCGCTGAATTGACTGAAGGCTGCGTGGCAACCTCTGACCAACCTGGCTGTTACTTCTTGGAGGAGCTGCTACAGTTGTATCCGGAGGCAAAGGTCATATGCACTGTCCGAGACCGAGGCTCCTGGTGGGACAGCTACTCGGCACTGTGGCAAGGCATTGAAGACCTGTATTCATGGTCCTGGCTTTCTCCCAGTCTGAGACGCTTCTGCGTCTTCTCCCATAAGTTCTGGGGGCGTGTGCCGCAAGCCGTGGACATCCCCGAGTGTGAGCCTTTGCCGATGGTCAACCAGGAGAAACTCTATGAAGCGCATGCCGAATATGTTCAGCGTGTGGTACCGCCGAGCCAGCTCTACTTCTTCAACGTCCGGGACGGATGGGAACCATTATGCAAGATTCTAAACGTCCCTGTTCCGGAGACACCTTTTCCGCACGCTTTTCCGAGGTCATGGCTCAAGGAGGGAAAGAATGCTTTGATCGCTCGGTTGAAAAGGCGCTTGGCAACTATGGTAGGGCTCGTAGGGCTGTTCGTCGGAGTCACAGGCTTTGCTGCCAACAAATACCTCTGACTTGGGGACGTACAAGGACAATCCGTGTCCATCTTGCTGAGAAGGAAGTCAAATAAAGTCTGGGTAATTGACATCCAGGTGAGCTTAGAGCAAGGAGACAAGCGGACATGTTTGATGTCGGACAGGATACTCTATTTTCCAAAGAGACTGCAGCTCATGCATGAGTGTATATCGTGTCATACCTATATCTTGAATCCCTCTCTCTATTTACTTTTGCCAGTGCTCTGTCCAACGTGGACAGGTATATATACCCATCCCTTGGGCATGAGCATAACGTGAATGGCCAGCTATCACTGTGCCGATACAAGGAACTAGGGAAATATAGTAACTCTTCCCAGATAGTACCCGAACATATCGATAGTCTTAATCGACTTTCGGGAACAGAGTAGACTGTGGGTGGCACGAGGCTGCGCAAGGCTGCACAAGGCTGTACTATGCCGGATTACACTTCCCGGCTGTGTTTGTCTTTGAGTATACTTCCATCGGTATATATGCATCGCGTTGATGGTTCAATCGGAAAATGCCTGGGAAGCGTATCCTCGGTACATTTCAGAGTATCTGGTGGTCTAATCGACGAGCGCCGGTCCATCCCTGCGGAAGTGAGAATCGACTATGACAACGGCACATTCTTAGGAGTATCGTGCTTCTAGTAGTGGCAGGCTGATGTGCTCATGGATATCTGCGAGGATGGCAGAGCGATGCATTGGCCTGTATTACTGCTCTCAATGATAGGCTTTCGTTCTGCACGGAATTTGACAATGCCCAAAACACTAGTTACTGTCAATGGCGCACCCGAGGCTTTCAGGAAATGGGCGCTGCCCGAAGCAGCAGCCCATTGTCACAGTCGCTGTCTTCATGTTTGTATCGAAGTGCTCGATCCGGATTGAACCCCGTAGATAAAACAGGGAGTGAAAAGTGCTTATATCCCAAGAATAACAAAATTTGGTTGTAGAGTCCCACTCTAACCGTCTACAGGAGCCGGTCACAGACCATTGAGACGAGGATAGTGCTCTACTGACAGATCAGAGTTTGCTTTTTGGCTCCGACAAAGGTGAGGCATAGCTGCCCATCATAAGTCTCTTTCCCCCATCGACACTAATGTCCTCTCCATTGACATACGTGCCAGCCCTTGAAGCGAGATACACTGCGACGCCGGCCATGTCCTCTGGCTTGCCCAGTCTTTTCATCGGATTGTCATTGGCTGCCACTTCCTCGCCGCCGAATTTCTCGATGGCAGGGCTGGCAAGACGCGTGGGGTACCAGCCCGGAGCGATGACATTCGTCGTGATATTCTTGTTGACAAGTTCTATCGCCAGATTCCTCCCCAAATGATGTGCCGCTGCCTTTGAGATGCTATAAGCGATTGCTCCGTCTGAGCCCGTGTGCAAAACGGCGATGCCGCCGACAGAGCTCACGATAAGGACTCTTGCCGGGTCATCGTGGGTTCCAGCAGCAGCAAGCAGAGGGATCATCCTATGCCGCCCGTTAGCGTCAAAAACACACTCAGTCTAGTAGAGGTCTTGATTGTCATTACTCACTTCCGCGTCAAATTGAAGACGCCGCGGACATTCACGTCCAAAGTCTTTGCAATTTTCCAGTCGTCAAAGTCTTCGTAGGGTCCACCCCAGCTGGCGGCAGCGTTGTTGACCAGGATGTGGAGCTTTCCATCGCTCAGCCTGCTCTTGGTTTCTTCCACGAGCTTTTCTATGCCCTCGATGCGGCTCACATTGGCGACAATATAAGAAGCGCGGCCTTGGATACTTGGCAGAGCATTTAGTTGAGCGACAGCTTCTTTGAGACCATCTTCCTTCCGCGCAGTCAGGATGACTTCTTTCGCACCAGCTTGCAGAAACCCGCTAGCAATGTAAAGGCCAATGCCTCTTGAACCTATTTCAAAACATCACTTGAGCTTATCTTTCGGCGTGGAAATGGTGCGAAGCGATCAGACTCACCACCAGTAATCAAGGCAACCTTGCCGTCCAGCCGGAAAAGGGATTCAAAGTTCGGGATTCCAGCCATCATGTAAATGATTCACAATTATGCGTCGCTATCAATGCACACCAGAGAACCTCAGAGTGGTTTTGGATTGCAGGTGTTTTTAGTTTGAACAGACTACAGATACATGAGCTCCGGAACAACAAAGCCCGGAAAACCTGAACCTCGCAAAGCCTCGGTCGTCCTGGCTGACCTCGCTCCGCCGTCAACTCGCAGCTACCCGCCAGCCGGCAGTGTTCCACACGAAACCATGTGTGATATGGAGGTGGTCTGCTTTTGCCGCAGACGAGTTTTGTTCTTGCACAACCCTCGGCAACCTAAATCTGCGGCTATGTATCGAGGCTATGGTTCAAAGTCACGGCACTGTTCCTGCGACGCATTCTAAACTTTATTTCACGACAGATTATACATTTTTATCACGAGTACGTGGGAATGTAATCTGGTCCAAGTGTGAAAATCCCTAGCAAACACCAAAATTGTCTACAGAACACCTTGTTTGAGAGTTTCCCAAAATGTCCCAGACCCATGCTCCCCCAGACGAAGAGTGGCAGCTCCTGGACCAATGGCACGGGAAAAAGTCAAAGCTACGAATCGTCCACATCGGAGCTGGTGTGGCAGGTATCCTCATGGCATACAAGATGAGGAAGATGATGACCGACTACGAGCTCGTTTGCTATGACAAGTATGACTGCCTTGATCCGGAAAAAGCGCCAGATTGCTAAAACCCATCATAGAAACCCCGAGATTGGCGGAACCTGGTCTGTCGTTGACTGAGGACTTCAAGTACAGTACAGACGCTTATGTTATCAGGTACGAGAACCGCTATCCCGGCTGTGCCTGCGATGTGTAAGCTTTCCGTTCTATCCATCAGTGTCCCCCCGTCTCTGATGTCAACCTAGTCCGGCTCATGGCTATACGTACCCATTCGATGGTTACGCAGACTGGTCTAGTTTTTATGCATCAGGCCCGGAGATTCTGCAATACTTGAAACAATTTGCCGCGAAGCACGATCTGGGCGGCTTTTTCAAGCTCAACTCAAAGGTCATCGAAGCAACATGGGACGATGAGCAGGGCATTTGTGAGTTCCCTTGTGTCTTTGCCCATGAGCGACAGACTGACCGATGCCAATAGACAACGTCAAGATTGAGCAAGATGGAGCCATCATTGAGGATTACTGTCATATCCTCGTCAATGGAGGTGGATTTCTGAACAATTGGAAATGTATTCTTTCCGGGCCACAATACCTTCAAAGTAATCCACATTGACCACAAGCAGGGCCCAACATTGCCGGACTTTTTGATTTCAAAGGCCAATTGGTGCATAGTGCTAGTTGGGATTCAGGTAGGATGAAATTCACTCGCCCGACAACAGACTCGGGTTGCTGACCAATTCCAAGCGATTGACTATGCCGGTAAAAAGGTCGCAATCTTGGGGACCGGCTCTTCTGCCATTCAGATTGTTCCGCAGGTCCAGAAGAGTAAGTTTTACTGGAAGTCTGGGACGATCGTACTTGCTTATCCGTGCTAGCTGCCCAGCACCTTGTCGCGTTTATGCGCTCCAATACATGGTTGGTAGACACCAGAGGATATCCTTGGTGCACGAAAACTAAGATTTTGCAGGATTTCGCCACCATTTGGAGCCACTGTTCTTGGACAAAGGGAGAACGATTCAAAGGCAGCCCCGGAAAAGTTTCCTGCCGGCCCGCAACACAAGTTTACTGAGGAAGAAAAGGAGCGGTTTCGCAAAGATCCCGAGTATCATCTGAGATATCGGCGGCTGCTTGAATCGAGTTTCAACGCCGGGTTCGACATGTTTCTTCCCGACACGGAATATGCCAAGGTTGTTAAAGAAAACATGAAAGCCGAGATGTTGCGACGACTTGGGCCTGGCCATGAGGAGTTGAAGGAAAAGCTGATTCCAAGCTGGCCCCCCGGGTGTAGGTTCAAATTCGGCGGACTCTTACCATTGAAGGACTAACATGGACATTACAGGCCGCCGCATAACACCTGGAGAGGGCTATCTCGAAGCATTGGTTCAACCAAGTTGGTATACGCTGATCTGATCTCGTACTCTGTTAACACGTGCAATGTAGATGTCGAAACAGTGCACCAGGAAATTGCGAAAGTGGTGCCCGAGGGTGTTCTGGGCGCAGATGGTACACTGTATCCCGTTGATATAATCATCTGCGCCACTGGATTCAATATCGCCTTCAGCCCTTCGTTGTGAGTTTAGTCACTTTTCATATTTTCCAGGTTTGCTAACCTTTTTCCACAGCCAGGTCAGAGGCGTCGGTGGTGTGGTCATGGAAGAAGAATTCACTCCGGATCCCAAAGTGTACATGGGATTTACCGCGCCTAAATTCCCAAACTTCTTCACTATCAATGGGCCAAGGGCTAACTGGGCCAACGGATGTTACTATCCCTCGGTCAGTTCACCCTTGTTCGTCTTGACGAGTCCCAAAACTCACTATTTTACAGGTCGAACTTCAGGTCGAATACGTCATTAAATGTGCGAACAAGATGCAAGAGGAAGGTATCAAAGCAATGGAGGTCAAGCCTGAAGTCATCGACCATCTTTATCGTTATCATGATGCGTGGCATCGTAGATCAACATACTCAGCACCCTGCAAGAGGTATGCTGCTTCTGAATCGCGCATGTCAGTCAATACTAATTCTTCGAAGCTGGTACAAGCGCGGTAGCACCACAGGTACCGTTTGGGTATGGGGCGGATCGGTAGGTTCTACGAAGCCTCTCCGGTCGCACGTAAACCACTGACAATCTCCCAGGGTCTTCATTATCTCAAGGCAATCAAGGAGCCAAAGTTTGAACACTACAACTACACATATAAGAACAGCAACATGTTTGCATACTTTGGCAATGGCCGGCTGGAACTTGAATGGAAGGGTGAACAGGACAAGATGGCTCCATACATCCGAAACGGAGACGTCCCATGGGATTTCGAATAAAGACATTCTTTGTGATACAACAGGCATATGCACCTAGAC